ACCCATAGAACATCATAGGAGATTGACATTTCTATAATTTGTGGTTGCTTCCTGAACCTCTCTGGCCTCTTGATTTTGTAAGAATTGAGGGCATTGATGGCTTTTCTCTTCTTGAAGGTTATGACCTATCAATTTTTTTTGATTGACAATATCCATTTTATTTTTTTTATTTTCAATATCCTATAATATATGCAGAGTCCCTCAAATATCATAATACTACACTAAAAAAATCCTTCTGTAGTTAAATCAACACAGGGTCTTTGTTTTTAATTTTTTTAAGAGAATTTTTTTAAATTAATTTTATTTAGTTATTTTTCAAGTACAGTTTTTTTGTCTATTTCTCCCATCCCAGCCTCCCCCGCCCCTTGCTCCCCACCTCCCTCCCATTTCCACCCTGCTTAGTTCTTGTCCCTGTGTCCTTCCTATTTGTTCCTCCAAATCCCTCCCCCTTTTCCCCCTTAACTTCCCTTCCCTTTCCCCTCTGGTCACTGTCCCCTTGTTCTCTATTTCAGTGTCTTTGTTTTTTTTTTTTCTGCTTGCTTGTTTGTTTCAATTTTTTGGACAGAATTTTAGTCTAGTGAAAAGTACCCAAGTTTGGGGGTTTTGAACATTGGTTAGTTGTCTGAATTTTGGCCAGTTTCTTCAATACTCTGAGTTATGTCTTCCTTAAATGTACAGTGGGAAAATAATATCCTGAAGATTTTGGAGGTACAAAATGAGTTAATGCATGTAAGAATTAATGCTCGTCACTTAATGCATGCCCAATATATCAGTTCCTTTTGTAGTTAGTGTCCTTGCACACTCAATAATCAATGTGTGACTGTTCTTGACTATTCCCTCAACTCCTGTCTTGCCTTGAATTGTGGTTTTGTGGGGTGTTTTTTGTTTTTTTTAAATACATAGCTTTGGATGTGAAACACAGGTATTTAAAGCACTAACTGGGAATCAAGCATTAAGATTTCATTTTGCTAATGATCTATGACATAACCTATTTGTATGTACATACAGTATTGCACCTCTTGCTGAATTTCAAGCCAGTTAAATTATCTGTAAAAAGCAGGGCAGTTTTATTAATATATTGTGTGAGTCAGATTTCTTACATATTACTAATACCCTTCCCCCACCCCGCCTTTTTTTTTTTTTTTTAACAAATTGAAGATAAAGCTCTGCTTTGGGGTGAAGATAAATTTTTATGCTCTTTTTAAAACAGCAGTTAGCAGAATTGGCCCCCTTTTCTTTCCAACTTTTGCTTTTCTGAGACCCTGCCTTTCTTATTCCCCCTTATCCTCTCACAGGATGGAGCCTGAAGTAGTCACCAATTTTCTCTACTTTAGCAGTTTCTATTTTTCTAAGAAGGATAAAGGTGGTTGTGTGAAGGGTTGTTTCTTTATTTCTTTCACTCTCAAACTGGGTGATCCATAGCTTCAGTACTTGATCATTAGCAAGGTTACTTTTTTAACTGAAATTTATATGTAATTGTATGTTGCTGTACTGTCTCATTGAGCCATCTGCAGAGTGGGTATTTATTGGGCACCTACCATATCCAGACTCTGGTATGTTCTGGAGTTAAAACCTTGATCATTCCCCCTTTCATTGAGTTTACAATGTAGAGTGAAGGTAGGCTATTTAACAGGCAGTGTTTTGATAGGAGGATTTTCAGGATACTAATAATGGCCTTTAAATTTCCTTGTGAACTAGTAGCACTTCATGTAGCTTGACATAGTTCTGTGTTTGATGAGTAAAATGTTAGTGTCCCAAGCTTCTTAGGCTCCCAGTTTTTACAAATCCTTCTTTGGTGAGACTAATCTCTGATTCTTTTATGAAATTGTATAATCCTAATCTAGACATAATCTGGGACATTCTCCTGTCCAGTTAGTCCTTTCACAAGTACTTTATTTATGTTTTTGTATTTATTATGATGTATGATGTAAAACATGGGCAATTACATCTAAACTTTACTCTTTTTTGAGAGCAATGCTTCAGTGTCCATTCCATGTTCAAACTAATCAAGCTTTCCTGTAGCATACTTTAGTTTAAATCAGATTTTGAGCTGGAATCTTAGACTGAGGCCCAGCCTGTCCAAATACTGTGGTGTCGGGCCATTTGTTCCACTTTTTAAATGAGTAAATATTTTTTATTGAAGTATAATGTAGAAAAGTACACAAATCCTAAGTCTTTATTTGAGTTTTTATAAAGTGAACCTGTTATAACACTACCATAGGGATCCCAAAACTGACTATTATCACTGTGTCAGAAATTTCCCTTATCCTGTTTTGGTTATGACCCATTCCTCTACCTCCAGCCCCCCCGGAAGCTACTAAATTCACTTTCTGTCTCCATGGATTCTGTTATTCTGTACATTTCATGTGAAAGGAATCATATTATGTGTGGCCTTTTGTGTCTGGCGTCTTTCATTTAAAATATTTTCAGGGTTCATTCATGTTGTATGTATTAGTACTTTATTTTTGTGGTTGAATTTCATATCATACAGGTGTACTATATCATATTTTGTTTATCTGTTCATCATTTGATGGCAATAAGGATTATTTCTACTTTTTGGCTATTATGAATAATGCTGTTATGAACATTTGTTTACAAGTTTTTCTATGAACATTTTCATTTCTCTTGGATATATACCTAGGAGAGAAATTGCTGGGTCTATTTACTAAACTGTTTTCTAGTATGGGCACATTTTACATTTCCATTAACAAGGTGTAAAGGTTTTAATTGCTCCATATCCTGCCAGCACTGGTTATTGTTTGTTCTTTCTTAAAATTTTTTTAAAAATCCTCATCTGAGGATATGTTCATTGATTTTAGAGAAAGGGGGCAGCGGGGGAGAGAGAGAAAGAAAGGGAAATAGAGAGGGAGAGAGAGAGAAACATTAATGTGAGAGAAACATCCATCGGTTGCCTGTAGTACACACCCTGACTGGAGAATGAAACCCACAATTTTTTTGTGTATAGGACGGTGCTCCAACCAACTGAGCCACCTGGCCAGGGTTGTCCTTTTGATTACAGCCTTCTAGTGAGTATGAAGTGGCATCTTATAATTTTATTTACATTTCTCTAATGACTAATAATGTTGAGTGTTTTTTCATGTGTTTACTGACTATATATGTGTGTATATATATATATATACACACATATATATATGTGTATATATATACATATATATATTTGAGAAATGTCTAATCAGATTCTTTGCTCCTTTAAAAATTGGGTTATTTGACTTTTTATTATTGAAATGTGTTATTTATATATTCTGTATACTAGGCCCTTATCAGGTATATGATATTTTCTGTCTTTCTGTGGGTGTCTTTACTTTCTGGGTAGTGTTCTTTGAAGCACAAAAGTTTGTGGGTTTTTTAAAAGATTTTATTTATTTATTTCAGAGAGGTGGGAAGGGAGGGAGAAAGAGAAGGAGAGAAACATCAATATGTAGTTACCTCTCACACGCCATGCCACCCCACCCCAACCGGAACCTGGCCTGCAACTCAGGCATGATCCCCGACCAGGAATCAAACCTGAAGACGTTTTGGTTTGCAGGCTGGGGCTCAATCCACTGAGCCATACCAGCCAGGGCAAAGGTTTTAAATTTTAATGAAGTCTGGTTTATTTATGTTTTCTTTGTTTCCTTGTGCTTTTGATAACCATACCTAAGAAACCATTGCCTAATCCACAGTCATAAAGATTTATTCCTCTGTTTTCTTCTAAGAGTTTTATAGTTTTAGCTCTTACACTGAGGTCTTTGATTCATTTTGGGTCACTTTTTGTATGTGATATGTATTAGAGGTGTTACTTTTTTTTAAACCTTACTTTGAGATAATTTAAATTTATATAGTGTTACTACAAAAGTAATTCATCCAGCTTTCTCTAAAATTAACATTTTTACATAAATGTAGTATAATAATCAAAACTAAGAATATAACAACTGAGTTTATTTGGATTTCACCAATTTTTCTAATGTCCTTTTCCTGTTTTAGGATTCAGTCCAGGTTCCTATATTGCATATAGGTGTCAAAATAAGGTTTAAAAAAAAGTAACACTCTACACATACCACATACAAAAGTGACCCAAAGTGAATCAAAGACCTAAGTGTAAAAGCTAAAACTATAAAACTCTTAGAAGAAAACAGAGGAATAAATCTTTATGACTGTGGGTTAGGCAATGGTTTCTTAGGTATGGTTATCAAAAGCATGTCTCCATAGTCCTCTTCAGTCTGTGATAGTCCTTAATCTTTTCTTGTATTTCATAACCTTTATACTTCGGAATAGTGCTAGTCAGGTATTTTGTAGGATGTCTCTGAAATTGGGTTTTTCTGGTATGTTCTCATGATTAGTCTGAAGTTAAACATTATTAGAAAGAATGCCACATGGGATAATTCATCCTCTCTTTAAGGATATGATGATGTTTGTATGTGAATTAATGTTTATGAAGGAGATGAGGCAGGTGTTTCTAGGGAAATAATAATCTCTTCCAAGCCTGGGGTTCTAGGTGGGGTGGGTGATAGAGATAGATACTCAGTCACACAGCAATAGTCAGGTACCCATTTATACACAACTGGGGTGCATGTAGGCATGAATTTTCCTATGTCCAACTGATACCAGCAGTAAGTTAACTGTTCCTACTAATTTTCCTTTTCCTGGGACCATAATTATTCTCCCACTATGGTGGGAATATTAGACTGTGCAGGGGCAAGTGGCAGATAGGCATACCTTTAAAGAGAATAGCCCCATTTAAACATTTTATCATACTGTTTTTCAGTATACATATTAATATTTTCCTGAGGCACGTTTTTTTCTATCCTACCATAATGTGAAATATATATGCTATGTCATTTTTTAGGCCTTAATAATTATATCAAATAAAACTTTTTTCTTGACTTAATACCTGGCCACCTCTACCTCATTTATTATGACATAGGAGATCTTATTTTAGGTAACAAAGCCAGGGTGACATTAGCTGATGCTCTGTGTCCCCCCCCTTTGATGCCTCCCAGGAATGCCAGTGGCCTGGGGGCAAAGATGCCTGGACTTGAGCTGTGGAGAGAGAAAACTTCAAGCAGAGAGGCATCTCCAGGTACTGGGGCCAATCCATAGTTGATTATTTCCATATAGGTATCAGTAGCTAAATGACTAACAGCGATTGCCCAAACTTACATTTAAACTTTTTTTTTCATGAAATAAAGTATGTACATAGAAAATAATTCTAGGAACTGTTACAATTTGTGCAGGTCAAGATACTTGGCAGTGGTTACTTTTCTTTTGTTATTTTTAGATATGGAGTTTAATTGAGATTTTATAATCAAGTGTGGATTTTTCTGATCTTAAATATAGAGTGAACATTTGGATAGTTACTAGAAATAATAATACATTGTTTTTAAAAATATATTTATTCCAGAATAAAACACTGGGTAGTCTTAACAGAGTACATTAAAATGAAATTCGAGAATTCTGTTTGGCAGTTTAGTACAAACAGTTTTTAAAAGGCAGACTTGATGGGTTATGTAATTCTTATATTCTTTTAGCTTACTTAAATTTATATAGCATGTATAAACTTATTAAATACATACACATACACATATACACACATTATGTATATTTAAGTTACTTTTATATAGGTAAAACATACCAACATTTTTTATGTATTGTTGTGGTAGTATTTTAAACCATATGAAACCAAAGTCCAAAGGAACCACTGTGATTATGTAAAAGAAAAAAGTGAAACTTTGTGTATTTGCTTTTGAGTGGATATTTTAATCACAAGGAATAAAAGTCTGAGGGGCACTTAAAATAAAACTTATTTTAGAGCCTAAGATTAAGCCATCACAGGCCACTGAACTTAACAGTGTTTTAGACCAGCAAACTCCAGGGTAACTTAGGTGTAATGAGATTTTTATAAAATACTTGTATGGCTAAATAGGTTATAAGCTTGCCATTTCTGCTTTAAAGGAACAAGGTAAAAGGGTCTCAAGGGAGATGTATCTACACATAAAGAAGAATTATATATTAAATACTGAGTTGTTGAATGGACTTAATTGATTGAAGAAATATTTTTTTAGTGTCTACTATGTACCAGAGACTGTTCTAGATGTCAAGATAGAGTGGTAACAAAAGAGGCCAGATTCTTGACTTCATGAATTGTGGAGACAGAGGTTAAGTCAGATTGGTCAGAACATGGGATATAAAGCAGGGTAGGTAGAGAGAATATGCTTTGGTGTCATTCTCTGTTTCAAGAATAGTGGGCGGTTTTCATTTGACATACTAGTTCTGTGGACCCTTCCCATAGACCTGGGTATAGAGCTGTGATTGCATGTTAATGATCACTACTATAGGTGCAGTGAGGAATGCGCCTCGTATAGTTTGGAACCAGACCTAAATTCAAGTTCTAGCTCTGGCACTTACTAGACAAGTTTTGGGAGAGTTATTTAACTACTGTGAACTCATTCCCTCTTTGGTAAATACGGGGAGAATTGACAGGGTTGTGAAAATTAAAACCTCCAAAAGATGCTCATTAAGTATTAATTCTCCCTATCTTTCTCTCATTTTAGTTTTCTTATACATAAAATGGGTAAAATAGACTACTAGCCTTGTCTATTGTTGTGAGAACTAAATAAATGAAATAAATACGTGAAACCACTTTAATACAGTCTGTAATGTTATTTTACTATGTGTTATTTCTGGAAAGGGAAGATTTTCAGGCTCAGGCAGCTCTGGGGACTGGTAGAACTCATGGATTCTTCTAAAAGTAGGAAGTCATCGATTCCCCCCCCCCCCCCCATTAGCAACCCAACATTCACATAATTTAGCTACTCTTTTGTGTTGTTTTCTCTCCTTTTTGTTGTCAGCCTCTAGCTAACCTGCTGTTCCTAATCCCATTTCTTCTTCACATTCCCAAGAAAATCTAGATTGGTCCACTTAGGCATTCTACCCAACAACATCTAAACAGTTGATTGGCTTATGATGTGGGTGTCCTTGCAACTGGTGTTTATGAGTGCTTCTTTTCATAGTAGCTGTTCTGGCCTAGTCTGCCTTCCTTTAATGGGGGTATAGGGCAGTAGTTTCCTTCAAGGTGGCTGTGATTACTACAGACACTAAACCAACCTGTCTAGGAAAATGCAATGATTAAGGGAATTGGGTTGGGTTTTAAGGTAGGAGATACCCTTTGAAATTTTCTAAAGTGCAGATAATTATTTTTTCTTCATTTTTTAAATAAGATGTTAGTAATTTATATTACTTCTTGAACTCAGTAAAATTATTATTGCTTGAAATAGATACCAGCTGGTACATAAATTTGTCTTTAGATTTCAGGTTTCCAAAGAAAAGACTCAATAAGCTTTGAGTTATTGGTAATTCAGCTGGTAAATTATTCTTGATAACTCAAGATTTCACCAATCTCTTAGAGACAACTTTGAATCAAAAAGTTTTTTTTTGCCTAATATAAATCCTACTCAGTTCTCTCAGCTTCTCATGTTTCATTGTTAAAGTTTGTGAACTATGTCTTGAAACTATTTGACCATAGTCAACTAATATTTTAGAAGTACCTACTAATGTTTATAATATACACTCAATATATTTGTCTAACAAAATTTTAACTCTTTCTCTTTTAGGTAATTTATCCTCAACATTCCAAACTTACTGATAGAGAAGTAAGTAAAAATATTGCTCTGTATAGTCTACAGTTTGTTAGGTTTTTTTTGGGGGGGGTGTGTGTGTTTGTATTAATATATATAGCTTTCGTTTTCTTTTTCAGAAAACCAATATTTGCTATTTGTCTTTTCCAGATTCAAATTCAGGTAACTATTTTTCATGTGGTGTTTCTGTTGAATTTTGTACTAAAAATACTGATTATACTGTTAATATATAGAAATCTACTGAAACAACATGCAAACTCAATTTCAGACTAACAGGTCAGTAATTCTGATTACTAGTTTTATAATGCCTAGTAATGTCTTATTGATTGTCATTGGTTCAGTTTTTAAAATAATTATGTTTTAATGTTGTAAAACACCAAGGAGCAATAAACTATTGAAGTAGTGAAGAGATTGAAAATCAGTAACATTAGTATGTTTAGGTATTTGTAATAAGTACTTTACTTTTTTTAGTTTAGGATTTGAGTGAGAGATTTCTAAGAACTCTGTAAAAGAAGTGAGTTTAAAAAAACAACAGGATGAATATGGTTATAAAGCCATGACCACAAGTTATTTTCAGTAATATATTTTAGTGAATATATGGAAAGTACTTGGAATGGGCATATAGAAAACACCATGTAAGTGTTTGCTATTATTTTAGACTTGGTTTTCCTGATTGTTTTCAAACTTTCCCTTTGTGTGGTCCTAATTGTTGAAATCATTCAGGTTACCTCTTGTGTTGCACTTTTAAAACAGCTTTTCAGGCTTATGGTGATCAGAACATTCCAAAACAGCTTTCAGGCTTATGGTGATCAGAACATTCCGCTTCTATGACGACACACACAGGAGTTAGAAGCCTATGAAGCAAAGACAGTTCAGTTCCCTTTCCTTTTGAGGTTACTTCAAATATATTTGGAGCTCATTTTCATGAAATATATTAAAAATGTGTTACTGTGGTAAAAAAAAAATAAAGTAAAATAAAATAAAAAGATGCCTTTGAGAGAGCCCAGTAGGGTGTTTGTTCTGATGTGGAATTATTGGAATCTTTTAATATGTTTTGCCTACAAAGTCCACACATGCATTTTTAAATGTAGTGAGTGGAGGATTGGACTTCTAGGGCTCAGGATAAGCCAAGCTGTGTGGATTGCAGGATAAGCTGATTATGCAGTTGGAATTCCAGTGGAATCTACTGTACACTCTTCTCTCTCAGACCATAGTTGGTTTTCATGGATTGTTTGCTTTTTCATATTTCTACATGAACATCAAGGCTCAGAAGTTAATTATATGGTATTCAGATAGCCTTTTCATTTCCAGTTTTGTAGTTAGTTTCTCCATGCATCATTTTCTCTTTCTTTCTTTCTTTCTTTCTTTCTTTCTTTCTTTCTTTCTTTCTTTCTTTCTTTCTTTCTTTCTCTCGTTCTCTCGTTCTCTCTTTCTCTCTTTCTCTCTTTCTTTTTTGGATATAATTTTTATTTTTCATTTTTTAAATTTATTTTAATTATTGTTCAAGTACAGTTTTCTGTCTTTTACTCCCATCCCAGCCCACCCCATCCATGCATCATTTTCTTATTGAAAGTTAATCTCAAGTGTAAATCTGTGTAAATCAAAATTTGATCAATATTTCAGGCATTTGAGTGACCTACACATGTTTTTTAATGCTTTTTAAATAAGATCTGCATCAAATGAAGTGTGGTTCATTTTATTTGAAGAATGGTTGGTACTTAGAAATAAAATTGACAGAAGATTTTAAAAATAGATACTTTGCCCTCTTAACAGATGAATGTTAATCTAGATAGCAAGAGACTGTGAGGTTTGTATGTATTTGAGATCACTATTCTTATTTGTGAATATACAAAGAGTTTGTTTCACTTAAGTGTTTTATTAAATGAAAGTTGGGATTACTGTGCCAACTTTGAAATGGATTTAATTTTTTTCTGAAATAGCTTTTATTGTCACTGAAGGAAATGCAGCTACAGTAGAGTAGCTTTAGGAAAGTCTAGGTTTCATTTTCATGGTGCACACTTTTAAAAAGCCAAAGAACATTTAGACCCTGTTATGCTGTACAGGTAAAGAGGAATACTTTGGGGATTCCTGATAGAATGATTTGTTAGTCCTGTACCTCCTCCACCCCCTACCAACACACATATACCCCGCACCCCAGATCTTATGATTTTAGAAATTGTTTTTAGGTTTCTATTTCTTGTTTCATTTGAATGGCTTTTATCTTTAGGAGCCCAAGTTTAAAGTATGCCTACTCTTTGACACATATTTGTCAGGTATTTTTTCTCCTTATTGTTTATCATTGACATCATTTGGATACAGGTGTTCCTGAGGCTTAAGCTGTGATGGGGACCCAAGGACTATAACTACTATATTTTAAACATGTCCAGAGAGAAAACTCAGCATTAGTAATGTTTTAGGTAATGATGAATTCAAGAGAAGGATTAAT